TTTTTTTCGTTTGGGGGAAAACTAAAACTGGTAGCAATTTTCGAATAAGAATGAGTCGGCAATTTTTAGTGGAGTCGAAAATTTGGAGGTGAATAAAACACCGAAACCCGGCAAATAAATAGGCGGTCAAATTTTTAGAGGGGTCGAAATTTTGGAGTTTTCACGGTGCTAATTATTCCATTTCAATGAAACTTAGTACAAAGATGCTCTAGGACAATGTACAAACCTAATTAGTTTAGGGTAAAAATCTGTTCATATTAATTCCCTAATAAGCATAATAATTCATAATTTTTTGGTTCTAATCACATTTCAATTAAACTTGGAGACATAGATTTTCTGTTACATTGCGCAGACCTCATTAGTTTTACACTCAAATCTGGTCATATTAATTTTCTGATTTGCATAATTAGTTTTCAGCTAAGTAATTTCGAATTATATTTAATGTGTCTCCAATACTCTCAGCACATGGGAGTTCTTTCTAAGCTTTCTTTGATTTTGTTTATTATCTTTATTCGCGCATAATTTCAGCAGTATATTACTCGTACAGCAAGTCTTAGAAGTACCAGTATTAGGGCAGTCAATTTGCAAACTCGCTAGCGAATTGGCTAACTGCTTTGGTTTTGACTAAACGGTTGGCGTTCGAATCTCGCTGGAGTCGTCTCGTGATCACTTCCATTCTGGGCGAGTCTATATTGCATTAGGGGACATAGAATGTTTTTACGCAGCCTGGTACATTCCCCTGAATGATTTGAGCCCGAAAATGGCCAGTCAGCTGGTGTACAGTGATAATATGATAAATGTGATTAATCCAACGATATTCACTATATGATTCACATTAATCATTACAGCTCCCTGGTTGGAGTAACGTTAAGCCAACCGCTGAAAAATCAAACTCATTCGTCGTTTTTGTGTGGACACGAAGAACAATAGAACAATTTCCCTGGTAAATTTGAAAGCGAAATCGCCATCCAACTGTAAGACCGTCGCTGATTAGCTCCTAAAGTATGACGATCGTCCCCTACTGTTACTTAGATTTGCCTTAAGTGGGCGTGACCACGCAGCGAGATTCGAAAGCCAACAGTTAAGTCAAAACCAAAGCAGTTAGCCAATTCAATAGCGAGTTAGCAAATTGGCTGCCCCAGTACTTCTGAGACTTGCTGTAATCCCTCTGTGAATTAAAAATTCAATCATCTCAATGGGTAACCTTATAACAAGTTCATTCATGACAGACAATATCCCCTGACCTTGGCAGAGGAAGTCTGTTGGCTACAATTCTCGGGTAAAAGAATTTGGCAGTTTTCCAACCAAGGTGTGCAATTGAATCAACTCCTGCTATGGAATTACAGCTTGCCAATTGTTCAGGAATTAAAAACTGTACTTTTTACCTTGCAC